CTAAATAAACTGATGTGAAATTAAGCACAGAAGTGTGTGTGTTTCTGGTGGTGGGGGGAGGGGGGTAAGTCTAAATCACAAATAAATGAGCCCCATGGATCCCTGACGTCTGGCGGCATGTGATCAGCACGCCCAGCAGCTAATTGTGGCACAATAGGGATGAATGACTGGTGTTTATATACGTATTCATTACTGCACCCTGTGACCGTGTCACAAACAAACTTGGCAAAAGAAGAGGAATGTAGGATTTCCTGCATGTTTCATGGCAACTGCAGCACAGGGAAGTTGGAAGGGTCTGAATAAGTGTGAGTGTTTTGGTGCATAGGTAGAAAATTTGTGTTTTTAGTTTCACCTCCTTTAGCTCATTTCTGTTTAAAGTGGAACGTACCTCACCATCGGAAGCAGGTTTTGACAAGGGCGGCGTGGGCAGATACCCAGGGCAGCATCAAAAAGGGGTGTGCAATATTGAACTACAATAATATCATAAAAAGGTTTGTAGGTTGAAAAAAGATAAAGGCGTACTAAGTTCTCTAGCAAGAAAATGTCAAAAGATTTTGACATAGTAAAAGTACTACCTTCTTTAACTTTTTTCACACAGTGTGCAACTGAAAGACTTCCAGCTTTCCTGACATACAATGATAATTCATGGTGACTTGGGAAAAACTGTGGAGATCCAGTTTAAGTGGAAGACCGCTGGTGGTGTCAAAGTTTCCAGTTTGCCACTAAAATACCTACACAACCCGTCCCCATCATCAAAAGTAGTAATGGTGGCATCATGCTATGGGATTGCCAATCCTTATCCTGCTTCAGGTTCAACATTGAACTTATCTCTGGATAAAAAAACAAAAAACAATTGATAAAACTTTTTAATTATTTTTATTTTGTCAAAAGGTGAAAAATGTACAAGTATACATATTTTGATGGAATAAAGCATTATTAGTTAGTACTAAAGAATCATTTTACAAGTAGTGTTTCAGTTTATGATGCAGATGGGGGAGGGGGGTTGAAAGGGTGAATTTTAAAAAATGTATTCGTTTTTTACTGAAGAGAAGTAAAGAATTCAAGTGGATAGAAAGTCTTTATACGACAGATGGGACTCATAGATAGTTAGGAGATGCTTTTTGTGAAATAACAGACAAAAAGAAGCTTTGTCAAAGTCCATTCATCCATTTTCTGACACGCTCAATCCCAAGTGGGGTCTTGAGGGGTGCTGGTGCCCATCACCAGCTGTGTATGGGCGAGAAGTGGGGTACATCCTGGACACACCAGTCACACATTCAGACCTAAGGAGAATTTAGAGAAGCCAATAAACCTAACAGTCATGTTTTTTTTTTTTTGGACTGTGGGAGGAAGCTGGAATACCCAGAGAGAACCCACCCATGCTCAGGGAGAACATGCAAACTCCATGCAGAAAGACCCCGAAACTGCAACCTTCTTGCTGTAAGGCTTTGTCAAAGTCTGTTAAATATTTAAATGTTGATTACTTTGGTTTATACAGTAGATTAAACTGTAAACGTCCATATGACAGAACAGTGCAGGTGGTTATTCTCCAGCCCAATTCCAAAGTGCGCCTTTTCTGAGCAGCTCAGAGCAAGCAGCTTCCCCTGCAGCAGCGGTGCTGTGGAGCTACTCTAAGCGCCTAGTAGTGTGGAGAGCACTAGTGCTGTGCAAAGCTGCAAGCCATCACATTTACAAACCTGATAAGTGTGTCTGTGTGAAGACGTGCCCCGGCTATTTATCTTCGGATCTACGCTCTTTTCCACCCTTATCCCCGTAGTGAGAGCAAACCTATGTGGTTTAGAGGGATTTACCCCTGTCAGCTCCTCTCCCTCTGGGCTATGGCTGCTATCAGCTGACTGTAAAACTATCCAGCCGAGAAAAAAACAGCTTCACACTTTCAGAGCCGAGGCTCATTTCAGCCTCTACAATCTACGCCGAGCTTTGCCAAATGAGAAAACGGGGACACGCTTTGTGGCTAAAAATACCTGTCTACGACTATATTTGGCTTGGCAGGATCACAATCGCGGCGTTAAAATAGTCGGGCCCGCCCCGGTACAATGAATGGGCTCTCTACTGTCTCACCCTGCCTCCGTCGGACAGGCATCGGCTAAATTTAGCAACGAGGCTTGCGTCAATCAGGAGTCTCAGTGCGTCAAGGAGCGCTCCGCCCCCTGGGGCTCGTCATTGGTTAGAATTAGGACGTTGACCCAAGAATACGCGACTCGTGATTGGCGGTTGTGAAGTACAGTTTACATACTTCGCAGTAACGTTTAATTTTGTGGTTGTTGGGCACGCTGAAGGAAAATGCCTCTCCGTTCATAACGGCTATCAAATTCTTGGCATCTTGTGAACAAGTGACCTAATTAAGTATTTATAAATCAGTTCAATCTTTTAAATTTACAAACACAATAAAATTCTAATCTATTCAAACGAATACAGAGAAACCACAGTTGCCTAAAAAAAAGTGAACATTTTAATTGCTCTTTTTCAGAATAAAAATCATCATTATGATTCAGAATGAAGGCAATACCATAAATCTATGTAAAAAAAAAAAAAAAAAGTAACATATGTGTATAAAAATCTAAAGGAATTAAATAAATTGTTTAAAAATCCTATATCTGAAAAAATACATTAAGAAAATATTATTTTATATTGAATAACAAAAAAAATTGTAGATTTATTACAACAAATACATATTTAAGAAGCATAATTGTATTTCTTAACTGACATAACAATGTTGTAAACTGATAGAAAGAATCTACATAATATTATGAAATTCTTTTAAGGAACTTAGTGATTCATAAATGTGATAAATCAGCAAAAATAGATCATTTATTTTCGAAACATTACCATGTTACCCCATAGTTCTGCTATCTTCAGTTTCCAATGCTGAATCATGTACAGAGTACTTTTTTGTATGTAGTCTGTTATTTTTACATGTATGTTTTAAACTGAATACACAGAAGGACTAGCTCTGAAGTGCTTGAAAAAAAAACTATTATTGATTTTAAAAAACATTTTCTGAATGCTTCAGTTGTTGTTTATATTTAACTGATAGTTAGCAATGCATTAAGTAAAGTTTTCAAAATGTAATTATCAGTTAATTAGGGTAGTTTTTACAGAGACAAAACTAACCTGGGCTGTTTAAGCACTCCGGCCAGGGAAACTAGCGCCAAAGGAGTATTACAAGGTAAGTAACTCCTTAAACTTTAGGGAATGCTATTTTTAAATAATCAGGAATGTCAGCACTGAGCCATCGTCAGATTTAAATGTCCCACTTTCTAAAATAAACTCAAACTAATCTCATTTTCTCCTGAAGCTGTTTTGAATTTTGGCCATTTCAATCTGGCACGTGCTTTGGCACAGACAATGGTGAACTGCAGCCAGATTCTAGGAGATTATCCTCCTTTGAGGGCTTCTGTTGCAGAAAAGAGTGAGGTCATCTATTTGGATCATAATATTTCATAAAAAAGCTTTTTGGGGTGACGTGTTAAATACCTGAACAATTTTAATCTATACACTAAATAGCTAAAGGTTCAGGGAGCTAAAATTAAACATTATGAGATTTTTTTTTTCACAACAAAGTAAATAAACTGAGTATATGGAAAGTAACATTTACACCACTTGGTCATTTATGAAATGGAATACACTTCCTTGTTGCTGCAAACAAAGTCAACCCTCTTACATACATTTAATTGCAGGCAGTTGTGTAAAATTCATAATAATACAAAAAACTCAAGAAAGACTAGAAAATGGCCGCACTGAAACATAAAAACTAAAAGTGTGAGGCCCCACAGTTGTAGGCATACAGCAAACCGAATATTACTTGACTGGTTTGTGGTTGTGTCGTGTCATTTCGCCTGTCTTGTTCTGCTGTGGGCGACGGCCCCTGTGGATGTCTGTTGTTTCATATCTGTGATCTAAATGTTTCTTCCACCACTGATGTTCCTTTACTCGTGATGCTGTGAAAAAAAAAGAAAAAAAAAACATCCACTTTGTCTTATCGTGCTTAAAATCCCCTTTGTGGTGTGAACGTCTGTGGTGGTTTGGGTTAGATAACTGCCCGAACTGCTTTGTTTAGATCCACAAATCTATTATTATCTATATTCTGACTAAAACCACGTGTGCTTAAATAGTTAGTCGTAATGTGACTCGTCTGAGTTTATTGAGCACAGTTGTCTGGGTACAGCATACAGCAACATATATGTTAAAATATATGAAAACATAACATAATCATTTATTGAGTCTTTAATTTGCCACCTAATAAACTTTCATTATAGTTTATAATGCAATCTTTACTTTTCAACAAAAATCCTGGAGATTTCAAGGGTATTTTTTTCAGTAAACTTTTATTATAAATTTATTAATCTCCTTTTAAAAGTATTTTTGTTTTTTAAGAGAAAACTTTATGTGGTAAATGGTAATTTACCTTAAATTTATTTGATAAAGACTGCAAACTGCTCATCTTTTGCATCTCAGTGGTTCCAGAGACATTTTCAGTCTGTGGTGACCTCTCTTAACCTCTCTAATGTTGCAAATGAGGAACATGAGCAACTGCTATAAAGTTTAGAAAAACGATCAGGTGAAAGTCATGGTAATCTGGAAGTTTTAGGGTCATCTTTAAAAAAAAATATCTGACCGAAAATTGAAACGATAGAAAATCATATGAAGCTATTTAAAACACAGATTGCAGTGTTGTGGCAGCTGCTCACCCGGCGGATCCCCCTCAGTTTCCTGTCCTTTAACCATCAAACCAACAGCGCCTCTGTGTATCTCTCTCTCTGTCTGAATGATCCTCTCTCTACCCCCTCTCTCTCTCTCTTTCTCTCTCTCTCTCTGGCATACGCGCTCGGGGCTTATGTGTCTCGTACAGTACAGAGCGCGAGAGGGAGTGACGTCACCTCTCCCATGGCGTCACATTGACGTAGCGCATACCAGGAGCTCTAATGTGGAGGCAGAGCGCTCATAAATGCAGTATTTGACTTTCTCCCCTCAGACGGCGCACATAAACAAAGCCGCATTACAACTCCGAAAAGCAGCACTGACAACCCTCAGCTGTCCGGAGCGTTTTACTTTATTTATTTATTTTTATTGATTCTATTTTTTTAACAAACTTCTTTGTGTTTTTTTTTTAGAACAAGAAAATAAGACGATCGCTAAACTTTTTTTTCTTTTTACCTCCGATGACTTCGTGCCTCTTCAGAATATCTTAAAACCTTTTTTTTTACTTCTTTAATATTACAACTTTTTGTGATTATTCTGGATGGAAAAGGGGATACTTAATGTGAGGTTATAACCACATGTAAAGACGGAACCGCTACAGCAAAGCAGTAAGTAAACTGAATGAATGAATCGCTCACATTCTGTCTCCAATAGGTGATTTTTCCTGTAGAGAACAAACCTATTAGCTGTGCGTGTTTGCGTTCGCATTAAGTAAACCGCATGTCATGCTAAACTCAAACCCCAGTATCCTGTTTTTGCTTTTTTTTCACAACTTTCTCAGCATATAACCTGTTGCTACATGGACGCGCACTGCTCTCTGTGCTATCTCTCTTTGTGTGTTGTTTCCAAGTGAGGCTGAATTCGATTTTAATTTGCGCCGGGAAGGTATCATATCCTTTCTGGTTGTCATGGAAATGAGATGCCTCTTACTCAATGGCACAATGAAGAGGGGAGTCAGACGCACAAATGAGTCTGAGTGGAGAATAGTCCAGCTTACATTCATGTGGGATCTAGGGGAGAAGACTTTATTCTCTTCTATTTCAAATTCAGATTTACATATATATGGACATATGTTTTCAATTATGTTTATTTTATTATAAAACGATTGAATGTGTTGTTAAAAAAGAAAATAACAGGATTATATGAGGGGGTTTTCCCCAAAACTGCTTAAAGCATAGGTTTGCTTAAAAAACATAAAAAGTTTTTTTTTATTATTCAAATAAGGGTCAGTCTCATTATTCCACTTGTTTATGGAAAACAACGCACAACCACTGTCAATTTCATTTTTTTTACACCTTAATTAATTTTCCCCGAGGAAATGTGTTGACATTGCGTTGTGATCTATATCTTTTGCGCTTTGGGGCATTCCTGATGGAACTCTCACTAAGCTTGAGCTCACTTTAAGCACCTAGGCAGACACTTCTGACAGCCTCCCCTCTCAGGGCTGATTTACAGTACTCATATATTCCTCTTTTTTCCCTTTCTCCTTTATGTTCCCTCTGTTTGCTGGAAGCCTTCTCTTGCCCCCCTGTCTGCCCGGGGTTATTGGTGTGAGGGGCTACCGGGGCCCATACCGGCGCTCCGGGGCGCGTGTTTTGTGGCGCTTGTGTCGTTCTCTAGGTTACCGGTGGATGATCACGTTATTGGGGCCTGATCCGCTCTTCTGCATGACTTTCGAAGACAAAATACAAGCGGGTTGAGAATTACTTGAGAACTAGTCTTAGTTTTAATTTGGAAAAGTGCGCTTTTTAGACACATGTTAAGATAAGAGCGCATTTACGCACGCTTCAAACTTTACCTCAAAACGGAATATAAGAACACTAATATCTTTGTTTCTATAGGCTCTTATCAAGCATGAATGTTTTTTATGTTTTATCTTCGGAAGCTCATGCAAAATTGTTATACTCTAAATTGAATAATGACTTAACTGTTCCAAACCAGCTCTAATCAAATAAATGTTATACAACTTTTTTTTCCTATATAATTTGATATGTTAAATTAGGCGTCGAGACTGTAAAAGGGGAATCTACCAACAGAGGAACAAAAATAATTGCAAAGTTGCATTTTTGTTCTCCAATAGTTGGCAGGAAAGTAAGAATAAAAAATTGAGCCGCTGACGCGAAGTTTATTATGATTGTTGACATTACTATCCCGATGACGGTTGTGGTTATGACTTACGCAAATAAGGAAGCTGGAAGACAATGAGTGGTTTTTCAACTAATCGTATCACTGATTTTTCCTGCTTGAAAAGAGAGGGAGAGAGCTGGGGGAGAGAGACAAGACAGTATTTGACAGAAAGGGGGCGCTCCGGGTCTTGAAATCCCCCTGCATATGTGGGTCCTCCTGCATTTGACAGGGAGCCGGACGAGCGCCGCGCGCAGGAGCCCCCCTGGTTGAAAGGTTTCAGGTCCGACTTTTCCCACAACATCTAGTTTATTAAGACTGGATGAACCTTGAGCGGAGTGCGATCACAGACAGGAGAAGTGATGGCCCGGACGCGCTGTTTTTAAAAATATTCACCTTTATAGGTGTGTAGGTCCTTATTTATTTATTTTTTTTTCCCAACTTCTTATGTTTGAATTCATCCTTTTGGTGAGCAAATTCTACTTATCTTTAAATAACAGCTGTGCGCCTTTTTTGTGTTAGAATGAAACCTGTCACCCACGTAAGTGCAAGTTCTGAAATGAGCCGGCAGACCTTAGTTGTGGTTCCTAATATTTACTTTGCCGCATAGATTTTAGTCTTAAAATCAATCAGTGGTTGATAATGGGGTGTAAATATTTGCCTTGCATGATATCAAAGGGGTTTTGCATGGATTCTGGTTTCTATAGACTGTTTTATTACCAACATCTTATTTAGTGTACTTTTATGCCTCTGTGCGTCTCTGCAATTGGTTTTGCGCACTTTATCTGTTAGGATAGTTGATAAATGATTACTTATTTTTAAGAATGAACTCATTTTACTGTCTTTAATATGTGCATTTCCTTGTTTAGAATTTTAGAGTGATATTTAATACCTTTCTTAGAATTTGTCATCCGAAGTTATGCATGCACGAATTGTGGTAATTATAGTAACGCATACCTTGCTCTTTGTGTGTTTTTGCTTTGATGGAAGCTACGTGCACAGGGGTGTCATTATCTATGTTTTCCTTCAGGTTCTTTCTACTAATCTGCACATGTGTTTCTGCAGACACAGGTTCGGAAGAGCGCGCCCAGCCGAGCTCGGAGCCCCGGCGATCGGTCCCCTTTTGTGCCACGTCCGCCGAGTCCCCCCCGCTCCAGGAGCTTTGTCCCGGCCGCAGCCACGAAACCCCCAAACCCCGGACACCCAGCACCATTCAGCGCGAAGCTCTTTCACCAGGTAAACAACTTGGACACGTCTTTCTTTCTTTCTTTCTTTCTTTCTTTCTTTCTTTCTTTCTTTCTTTCTTTCTTTCTTTCTTTCTTTCTTTCTTTCTTTCTTTCTT